CAATAGTTAAATGTATTTAATAATCCTTGTCAATATTTTATATCCTCCAAACCCAGCCACATGTGTATGTATGCCTGTGACATGTGCATGTATGTGTGTGCCCACACACTAATCCTTGGCTATTGACAATTAAGGGGACTTGTATTGTGATGATATAAGCATCAGAAGACCATAGACATCTAAAGCTACCATCCTTCCAGGCTTCCACAGATATTTTGAATCATGATGTTGCCCTGGTTTTTCATATGGCTGGAGTGTTTCCAGAGGGCATCAGCTTTGGCCTTCTGTTCTAGGGAAGGGACTCTAACATTAGACTGACAAGATTCCCTGAAGGTGGGATTAGTGTAGATCTAAAGTAGGTCACCACTGGTCAGTTCTGACAGTTCCAAGGTTGCTCACAGACTGGGGTGGTGAGGCAGGGGGCTGGGCGGCGGGGGGGCTTCATTGCCAGGCAGCCCTGACAGTGCCCTTGCCAAGTGCCTCCTCTCTTCCTCAGCAACGTGTCCTGAGTACTTACTGTCCTAAGGTTTGTGCTGGGTCCTAGAAGGAAAAGACCAACATAGCTTGCATTCATGGAATCTAGTGGAGAAGACTGACATCTAAACAAAGGCAATGTAGAAATAAATGCATAACAGAGATAAATATACATTACCATGGGGCACCAAAAAGAGTGGTAAATTCTGTTTAGGGCAGTGATTTCCAACCCTTTTCCTCTCATGGCACACATAAACGAATTACTAAAATTCTGCGGCACACCAGAAAATGTATTTTTTGCCAATGTGACAAAAAACAGCTATAATTTTGATTCGTTCATATCATTGATTAAAAAAACATATATTTATTGATATCAGAGTGGGAGAGATAGAAACATCAATGATGGGAGAGAATCATTGATTGGCTGCCTCCTGCATGCACCACACTGGGGATCGAGCCCGAAACCTGGGCATGTGCCCTGACTGGTAATTGAACCATGACCTCCTGGTTCATAGGTCGACACTCAACCACTGAGCCATGCTGGCCGGGCCTGTGTTCTTTATTAATGCTATGTCATTCTTCATAGTTACTATATCTTTTCTCATGCTGTTGAGTATCTTGGTCATCATTATTCTGAACTCCGTATCTGATAAATTTTTTATCTCCATTTCATTTATCTCTTCTTCTTGGAGAATTCTCTTGTTCTTTCATTTGGGGGGTGTTTTTTTATCTCCCCATTTTGGCTGCCTGTTTGGGTTTGTGTCTATATATTAGGTAGATCTGCTAAGACTTTTAATCTCTAGTGCAGGACCATGTCAGATGCTGTTTCTGACTGGCCCTGAGTACCGTTTGGAGCGATCAGCAAGTCACAGCTTGTGGCTCCCTCTGCTGGGGCTGGGTGTCTGGAAAGGACCAAGATGTGCATGCACCAGGCTCTGCTTTTCCTAGCCCCAGGCCCAGGAGATCAGGCAAAGACTCTCTTATTTCTTATTTTGTACTTTTATCTTTACTAGTAACTCTTTTTTAAGTTATTACTATTTTTTCTAATTTTGT